CCAAGTGCCTAGGCTTCCTGTATAATATAGTTGGCCCTGCCGTAAATGTCACATTTGTTTTCTGAGGCCACTTCTGCCACCCAAATTCCTAAGTTCTATTTAGCCTCAAATGAGCAAGTTTCCTACACTGCAGGATTTCAGGTTGCAGGAGGTTATACAGATTGACCCCACAGACCATTTGTTATTTCTTGAACCACTGTGCATGATTGCACCAGCTTTCACACTGTCCAGTCCATATCCTGCTTGGAATGCTCTTCCCCTAGATCCCTGCTTGGAAACTCCCTTAGTCCCTTCACGTCTTTGCTCACATGCCACCTTCCCAATGAGGCCTACCCTGATCATCTTATTTAAAATTGCACCTGTGCCTCCAGCCCCCTCCCTCATGGGCATTTTCTTTTTTCCATTGCACTTAACACCTTTTTGTAAACCTATGATTTACCTACTTTTTTATTGTTGATGTCTGTCTCCTCTGCTAGACTGTCATTTGTGAGGGCAGACATCTGTGTTTCATTCATTGATATACTATAAATGCCTAGAATAGTGTGTAGCACATAGTAGGCTCTTATCAAATACATGGGTTAAATCGTTGAATAAATATATGATACATTGATTGTTTATTACTAGTTATTTATGGGGGGGCAGGCAGTTTTCAATAGAGCCTTCAGTCTTCATGTGTTAAAACCATGCCATGTTTTTGTGTTTGAACAGCATTGTCAGTGAAATGGAACTGCCTAGGTCCTGAGAGCATCTTTGCCTTCTGCCTGTGAGTCAGCATGCTGGCAGTAGCTGCTCTGCTTCTAGAGTTGAAGATCTCTGCTGCTTGGTGTTTTGGCCCCACGAGATCTGATGAGGTTTTCCCATACATTTTGGCCTTAGACCTGATGTATACTTTCCTGTCTCTTCTGAAGATCAGCCTGTTGGGTGTTGTTCTTAGAACAGTGCTAAGCTCTGAGCAATTACTCGGTAAATGATAAGTGTTGATTATGGGAGTGACCCATTATGTCTGTTCTGAACTTCAGAGCTTAAGAGCACCTTAGAAATTATCCATCCCCACTCTATATTTTATAGTTCAAGAAACTGAGGAGCCAAGAGATTAATTTTCTGAATTCACAGAACTAGCTAGAGGCAGTTCTGGGACTGGAGTCCTGGTCTGGGTTTTTTGCTTGTTTTTTAATACACCATATAGCTGCAACAAGAAGCAAGACCAGTTTCCTCATGCCCTCCTCTAGTCTGTCAACACAACGCTTTGCTTCTTTTTCTTTTCCTTCTTACTCGTCTTTCTTAAGGAGGATCCAGGTTTCTCCAAATCTTACCTTCACATGTAGGACCTAGTCTTGTCATCTCAACCCAAAGCCTCCTCAGATTCCCTTCCCCATGGTATCCATATTTGGAGAAGGCTTTTCTGCCTTTCTTGTTCCTCCTTACTGTGGTGCTCAGCGCGGGAGTCTAGAGAAGAGACAGGCTGATGTCAGGTGGCTGCTTTATTCCTTTTACCCTGTCTCTCTCTCTTCTGCTGTCTCTACGCCACCCCACCAGCACCCTGACCTGGGTCCCCTCTCCTCGGGAACTCCTCACCTGCCTCATCTGTTTCTCCCACTTCTTAACACGTCTTGAAGCTGTAGTCTCACATCAGTAGGCAGGAGGGGGAAGACGCACCGCCCTGCATTTATCTGTACTTGATTTTTTCTTCATCATCTCTTTTGACCTCTACAGCAACCTTGTGTGTTAAGTGGGAACAGATACTCTTATTCCTTTTTTACTGACAAGGAAATGAAGTACAGATGAGTAGAGTAAGTGATTTATTCAGTCTTGCCGCCTCTCGTTGGCAGGAGGGGAAGCTGAGCCTCCGAATCCTGGTTTAGAATCTTTTCTGCTGTCTCATATTTTCATGTTAACAGAAAGAGAGAGAAAACTTATCACCAGCTGGTATTCTGAAATGTACATAATACCTTTTTTTCCCTGAAGATCTTATTCAGTCTTTTAAAGTCTTATGAGGATATTAATCTGGATTTCTCTAGCATCTTTAGCATCTTGGTTTTAGAAAAGACCACTGACAGTTCAGTTAGTGATATAATGGACAGATTCTCTGATACTGACTAAACTGCCATCTTTATTTAACAGTTATTAAATGCTGTTACGTGTGGACCTGTGTTTGCAATGTTCTAGTTGCCCTTTTGAGATTCTGTGGCAAGATTTATTCAAATTCTTGATTCTATCATACAACTGTTAATGCTTTGATATTTTTGCAAGTTTTGAAAATCCACATATTTGTAGTTTTAGTTGAAAGTGTAAGAAATATTTATGTAGAAAACATGATGTAATACTATATTTAAACTAAAAAATGTTCCTTAAAATATTTATCACTTAATTATTAATAGGAGGTGATGTCTTAATCACTTTCCTCTTTATTATTAAGCATTGTAAATGGAAATTGAAAGTAATTTTTAACTTAATTAAATTCAACCAGTAAATTTTACTGAATTGTATTAATGTTTGGTGCTTCGCTGCCAAACAAAGCATTTTTAAAACACACTGTGTTGTATATCCTCTCATAAGAAAAATGAAATGCTGGGCCGGCCCCATGGCTTAGCGGTTAAGTGCGCACGCTCCGCTACTGGCGGCCCGGGTTCGGATCCTGGGTGCGCACCCACGCACCGCTTCTCCGGCCATGCTGAGGCCGCGTCCCGCATACAGCAACTAGAAGGATGTGCAACTATGACATATAACTATCTGCTGGGGCTTTGGGGAAAAAAAGGAGGAGGATTTGCAATAGACGTTAGCTCAGAGGCGGTCTTCCTCAGCAAAAAAAAAAGAGGAGGATTAGCATGGATGTTAGCTCAGGGCTGATCTTCCTTGGGAAAAAAAAAAAGAAAAATGAAATGCAACTATATCTTTACAAGTAAAACTGATTAGGAACTGACACTGTCCTGACACAACTGGCAGTGTTAGCTCCCTGCCGAGCTTCTCTGTACAGCAGGTCAAGAGGGCTTGTATGCGAAGCAGCTGATGTATGGTGTTTGTAATGCAGCTTTGTTCTCACGGCCATTTGTCCTCCCATAGGCCAGGGGGTACACATAACTGTTTGTATGTAAGAGTCCTAGAAGATGTGAAAAAACCCTTGTGTCATATGTTTAGAGCTCTCAGTCTGATCTGAGGCCAGAAAGCATAAGGCACAGTTGTTATACAGTGAATTCATTTATACAGTGAATTCATGTATAACATTTTTTGATGTAAACTGGAGTTGTCCAGATCCATTTCCTGCAAAATGATAATATCCAAATTCTAGATTTACCTTTGATGTTGTTATCCCTACTCACTTTTAAGTTAAGTTTCAGTTTGCTAAATGGCACACTGCCTGGAGTATGCCCTCTTGTTGAGACCATTCTGTGTTGGATCTAGTGCCAAAGAAAAAAGTGAGACCCTGTAGGGAATCTGGTTTGCTTTACAAGTTAGGGTTAGTGGAGAGAACCATCTTGACGGAATGATGAAACTGTGGAAGTATTTTCTCTAACATTACCTGCCTGCCTATAGTTCAGTTTCCTGACCGATAAAAACTCTGTCCAAATCCAACCTCGGTAAAGTCTTGACTCTGTGGTAGTTTTCTCTTCTAACAAGTGTCCAGTCACATTTATTATCACATATGTGCAGTTTTGTAGTTTACTTCCTTTATAAATTAGATGTGCATTCTGCTTAGGCGAAAGTACAAACACATACATGTATTAATTTATACTAAAATCACAAAAAGCTTTTAAAATGATGTTCTAAATAAAAATGATAGCCTTATGAAAATATATTAGCACCATTTCTTCAAACAAACATAAACAAGAATAGTAAATAAATATGCAGAGTAGCACCATGTATTTTTACACCATGAGCAACCACTGTAGAGAGAATCATCTTTTAAGTACCAAAATGATTTAGGACCTTTTTTTTGTTCTTTTCATATCATTTGTTATCTTTATTAGTTTAGCTTTTTCCAAACATATTTACTCAGAGACACCTTCTCTTCGGCCGTTCTGGCTGCTATAACAAAAATAGCATAGACTGCATGGCTTAAACAACAGAAACTTATTTTTCACAGTTCTGGAGGCTGGGAAATCCAAGATCAAGGCTCTGGCGTATTCGGTGTCCAGTGAGGGGCCACTTCCCTGGTTCATAGCCTGTCATCTTTTTGCTGTGTCCTCACATGGTGGTAGGGCAGGAGAGCTCTTGGGGGTCTCTTTTATAGGGCACTAATCCCATTCATGACCTAATCACCTCCCAAAAGCTCAACCTCCTAAATACCATCACACTGGGGATTAGGTTTCAACATACAAATTTTGGGGGGGACACAAACATTTAATCTATAGTGTACCTATTCTAGTTAGGAAGGAAAAGAAGAGACAACACCAAATAAAGCTAGTGATTGAAATGTTTAATCCTTGTCAGGCTGAAAAGAACCATAATTGTCTTTCACCTGGCTCATCTATAACAGTTTTGTAGAGGGATCGAGTGTAGTTGTGTTTGACGGTTTCCATCCTAATGGTTTCTACCAGCTTTGTTCTTATTTAGGAACTATTAGAACATGCTCAGTTTTGTATACTTATAGAGCATAGTAAAATGCTGACAATTACAATTGTTTGTTTACAGTAGAGCTATTACCTCATCAACTGTGAAATTTTTAGTATCTCTTATAGTGAAAAAAATTTAACTTAATCCATCTAAAAGGATTTATTCTGAGATTCTAAGAATAATTTTCCAAGTATATCTAGAAGGGTAAATTGATTTTAAAGAATATATAATTGATTAAAAACATCATTTTGAAAAACCCGTTTATGATCCACTATGAGAGCAGCTTCTAGATGCCCTCAGGTAGATGTCAAACCGAGTGGAGCAAATAATCTTCCAGGCAGCTAAAGAGAATATTTGTAGTAGATTATAGTGAAGAAAAAATACATTTTATCTGTTTAACTTTGTGCTAACTTCTACAATATGTGTGTGTTTTGCTTGTTCTCTCGTAGGTATGAGAAAGTGCCAGTCATACTGGTTGGAAACAAAGTGGACCTGGAAAGTGAGAGAGAAGTATCATCCAATGAAGGCAGAGCCCTTGCTGAAGAGTGGGGCTGCCCCTTTATGGAGACTTCTGCCAAGAGTAAAACGATGGTGGACGAACTCTTTGCAGAAATTGTGAGGCAAATGAACTACGCTGCGCAGCCTGACAAAGATGACCCATGCTGTTCTGCATGTAACATACAATAGCATTCAAATATGGCTCTCCTGGACAGGATCTGCCCAAGACCGTAGGCAATACAAACCTCATCTGCCCGACTGCAGAGTTTGCAGGCTGTGTGGTGTGACTTTACAGTGAAATAGCAGCCCTTATTCAGAATTGAGCGGTGATTGTCAGTTGATCTCTCTGAGTAACATTTGGGTTCAGTAACTACGGTTTTCACCATTGTCCTCAGTCTCCTATATGCACCTGCAACTTTAAGGCATAGCCAGTCGATCTACAGGGTGATCTCCTTTGAAAGCTATGATGGCATTGTCGCTGAGTTGACAGAAGCAACTGTTGTATAAATTAAAAATAATCTTGAGAGAGAAACCAGAAGAATTCCTATGACCGCTTACAATTAAAATATTTTGTCTTCTTTAAAAAAAAAATAATAAGGAGAAATATTTTCCTACGAGAGTACTGAATTTCAGGAATTGAGATAGTGCTTCTAATCAATGTATTCCGTCAAGTAAGATTAATAACAGCTGACCTGCCAACGGCATTACAGGGAGAGATTCTTTGCTCAGCTGACATATTTCTGTTTTTCAAAATCAATGCTTAATTGTAGATGTTATCCTAATTGTGACATGGAACTAACTCATGCATCAATCTTTGATAGAGCAAAAATCAGAACAGGTTGTGTAAAAATACGATCTAGCTTTAGAATATGTTAAATCACCTGCTTTGCCACAGAAAATGGAGGCTCTCACAAGGGTTTGATCCGAATTAAAACCCCAAACCCACCCTCTGTTAACCAAGCAGGGATGGTCTTGATTACTTTATTGAACAAGAGGAAGCAACTGTGATGGGAAGAGATTGCCTAGCCTTACTAACAAGCAGCGTTCTAGTAGATTAGCTAGTACCATCATGTCAGGAAAATGAAGCCATGTTGCATCCACGTGTTCCCATTTGCAGAAACCTCACAGGACAGTACAAATATCTTGCATTTTTAGTTTGTTAAAGCAGCAAATTCCTTCCTGCCTTTAAGGGCTATGGTTGTGGTGTGTTTCTTGGCTAACCTGCTTTCGAAATCAAGTTTGCTGTAGCACAGCTTTATTGCAGGCATTTAAAAAATTGAATTACCATGTGAAATAATTTGGGCTTAAAAGTAGAACATAAATTATAGAGTGGAAGGTAAGGGGCAAAAAAAAAACCCTTTATCTTTAATTTTCCTGAAGAATTATATACAGATTTACTTATAACAATTTTGCCCTGATTACTGCAGTGGCAAATAAAGCTAGAGTGAATATTCTGTTTTGAAAAGGTGCTCAAAGCTCTGACATTTTTGGTTTTCATAGCCATGGAGTATTTATCATTTGCATGACTAATGGCACAGAAAAAAAACCTATTCATAAGTTTTACAATCAAGTGTAGAAGGATTTTCAACTAACTTCAGAGTTATAAATGCTGAAGAGAGTATCTTGAGCTGATCCTCTGGAGATAAATTTGGCCTTCAGAACTGCAATATCACTGAGCCTGTGATCTACATAGCGCCCCACATTTTGTTGGTTTCGCACTCTTGTGCAAGTACCCTCTGGTCTTACGTGTGTAACTGAGAGAAGAGTGTATGTTTGTGTATGCATGTGTGTTTATTGTTCCTAAGAATTGGGCACAAGTTGGAGATAATTGCCTATACTGAGAATCTGCCTGTACTGCAGAATATAGTGTATCAAAAACATTTTTTTCTTTTAAACTATTTAAGTATTTTTTTAATACATTATTGAAATCATTGGTAGCCTCCCCAAGTGTTTGGTAAACTGTCGTTAAGCTTAGAGGATAGAAAAAAGGTGAATAGTACTTTTCATAGATGAGAAAAACAGAGATATGTGGGTAAAACCAGGCTGTGGTTGTCTAAAGTCTTTGAATTGTGAATATTTGCATTCTTCAGTATAGTTTTTTTATAACCCCCAGTTATGAAGCACCGTGTTTATAGGACAAAAAGTCCTAATCAATTTTATTGAAACAAATTTCATTACGTAAAAGTAGATTTGACTCAAACATCTAGAGAAATCAAAGATTCAAGAAGTACGATTTATCCACTGAAATAGAAATATTTTAGTAAATTGTTGAGTTTTGAAGCCTCTAACTTCTAGAATGATTTTTTTAAGAATTGCTAAATTTAATAGCAATTTATGACAACTAAGATTACATATTAAAACATCTGTAAAGATTCTACAGTTTTACATTACAGATTGCTATGCAGACAAGAAAAATAAGTTACATAAGAGGAAAGATATGGCAAAATATAAGGTGGAAAAGATTATCCAAAAATTTGGGGTTTAGTTAGAAATGTTTGTGGCAGACAGTAAGGTGGGCTTTTACTGTAAAGATGTTAATAATAACTGATTTGGCTGCTTGATCTGTGTTTTCACACAGCCCTGCACAAAGCATCAAAGATATCCAGAAACGTGGAAACCCTCATGTGCTGTTACTGTTGGTATTTCATCTGGTATGACTATAACGCAGCTTGAGTGAATGTGTTTGTTGAGATGTTAATAAAAAGCTTAAGAACAGAAAGATTAAATTTCTTGGCACAGGAAATAACAGTGGCTACAGAGAAAAGTTGGTGACCTTGTGTCGCTATTTATGTTATGCCCTGATCAGACTAGCAACTAGATAAGTGCGAGTTTTTCTAACATGCCTTAAAAATGTTATGGTTTGATCCAAAGACCCACTTTTTCTTTAGCTATTTACAATAAGATTTTCTTTTGTTTTTGTTTTGTCTTGTTTTACTTTTATACAAAGGCACAGCATTTAAAAAAATTTTTTTCTTTTATGTTGCAACATTTTTGGGTTCTTTCAAGCTGTGATAGTGATGGTAACTGATGCCTTTCATTTTGTTCAACTTACACAAAACAAGCCAGCATCTGATCAAAAGTATTAACATAAAAATCTTTCTTAAACTATCGCAAGGTGCTTTGATGATTTTTCTCCTTTGGTTTGTAGAATTAGGACTGAACTTCTGACTCTAATTGCTACAGTTGCCATCACTTTTCTGTGGTAAAACTACTGATATTTGCTTTTCTATATAAGGAAATGTTGCCTAAGGGTATCTGCTATTTGCTTTCAAGAGTTTTCCAGTGTGAATGTTGTCTGTGTATGTATGAATATGAAAGTGCTTATTTTGTTTGTTGCTGTTGGTTTTTTGTTTCGTCTGTTTTTTTGTTTTTGTTCTTCTCAGTGGTCTTGTGTTAGCCCTGGGTGAGCTATAATTGTCTCCTTAGCCAATCAAATGTTAAAGACTGTGGGGGTCTTTTTTTTTTTTTTAATTAACATGATATTGTGCATCTATTATATCTTAATCAGGGTTTCAAGAATGACTGCAGTGGGTTTTGGAAACAGACTTATCATTATTGATTTGGGGTTTCCCAGAGATATAGTTCACAGTTAATTGTTGAGCTCTAATACAACTGACCATTTAAAATTGAACAACAGTTTATTGTTTTGTAACAATGTCAGTTGTTAAACTTTGACATTTCAATTAAAACATGAATTGTAGTTATAACTCAAGGCAAATTCAACAGTTGTATTTGGAGTTAAATTATTTTAACAAATAAATTTATTTAATGAAACTTCCTCTGGATTTCTTTGTTTTGTACACGTTCCTGAGTGAAATGTGTTTAATATAGACAAAAACAACTAAAAGTTGCCATATAATGAATTTAATACTCTTGATACAGAAATATTCAAACTGAATTAAATTGAGAATTCATCATATAAAAAGGGAGGTTACCAGATCATTTTCCCCTTTAAAAATAACAGGAGAAGGACTTTAAAATCAGTAATTACAAATATAAACATCTCCATAAATAGCATTTTATATTTTTGATGATAGCTGGCAAATTTGAAGTCTTGATACTAAAACAGAATTGTTGTTCTAGATAATTAACATTAATTAGCAGTTGCTCTATTGTCCTGCTAGTATCTCTAAAATGTGCCACTGTCCTTCTGGTGATGGCTTGGAGCTGCCTTCTTGTTTAGGTCTTGTGGATTTGAAGGTGCCAGAAGCTGGGGGTTGCTGCTCTGCATGGCTGTGGGGCCTGCCTGTTCTATATGGGGCCCTGTAAATGTTGACAGATGCTGTTAATTATATACAGCCCTCAGCTGCTCTGATAAGGAGCCCATTCATTCCCTAAGCCAGTTTAAACTATGCTTTTTGGTTATGTCGCCTTCAAACTCTGTTGAATTCCTCTGGCAACATTCCACCAGTTTAGAAGCTTCATTGTTTAGAATATAAGAATAATCTGAATGAATATAACAGAGGCACTGTAGATAGAATCTCAAATATTTAAAGGAAAATGTGCATGTATTTTAGTATAATAAATAAATATCTCCTGGTTAGCTTCATAATCTCATTTGAAGCATTTGTAAAATACTTAAACCTATCAAATTCTAACTTTAATTGGGAGAATTTCTTTGTGGCTGAAAAATAGTATTTTGAAATTCTCCCAAGTTGTACTGTTTATTGACTGCTAGAGGTCCATGGATGGGAATATAAATGGTTGAAGGAAAAAAGTGCCACCCAGTTTGGAACCTATCTGACCTCGAGGATCTGTGAATCAGAGAAAATTATCACAAACTCCCTAAAAAAGCTGCTGACTTCTCATTTGTTTCTTAATTTAAAATATCTATGTTACCATGTAAATACTAATAAAACAGTGCACTTCATTTATTAAATGGATAATTGAAACTGGTTTTACATTTTTCAATATTAACACTTTTTTCTGGTTTTGAGGTTGTTTTGGTCTTTGTTTTTTCCTTTGAAGTATTAGGTTTTAAAAGATTTGCTCCTCTTCCAGGTAAGGTGATGGGTCGGTCATTGCTTTCAGTACTTTCTTAGAGCACTTGTCTTCACGTTACCTCCTAAGGATTCCTCCAAGACTTATTAGTGGAGAAAAAGGTAGACAACTATCTGCTTGAAGGATTAAATACAAAGACCTAGTTAGTAGGCATGAATTAGGAAAAAGGAAACTGACGGAAAGATACTTGGTTTGGTTTGGGGAATTTTTTGTAAGATCCTCCCATTTCAAAGACTCGGAAGTATCAAAGATTTCATTGTTTTGTCATATGGTTACAATTTTACATTGACAGTATTTTAGGTATGATTTACATTTTTACCTTAAAAAAATCAGATATTAATGAAAAATACAAAGAAGAAAGGGAAAAACCACCCAATTGCCAAATCCCCAAAACAACCATGTTAACATTTGATAGGAATCATTCCATACATGTTTCTATGCATATACACACATGCAGATATACACACACACACAGGTAGAAGGATAAATAACTCCATGTTACTAATGAGAAACTGGCTCTAAGTACTAAAGATGAATCACCCAAGGTCACACCACTAATAAAGTGGCAGAGTTAAGGTGCAAACCCCGGCTTCTAACTGTAGATCACATTTTCCCTACTGTTAATTCTTTTACATAAATGGTGTCCACTCATTCCAGGCTCATTCAGCTGTTAATCATTGAAGGTTACTCTTACACCTGGCATGGTACAGCAATTCATAGATAGGCACATACACATATAGTCATGTGCCACATGACAACGTTTCAGTCAATGATGGACGGCAAATACAACACTGGTCCCATAAGGTTAGTACCATGTAGCCTAGGTGTGTAGTGGGCAGTACATCTAGGTTTGTGTAAGTACACTCTCTGGTATTTGCACAACGATGAAATCACCTAACGATGCATTTCTCAGAATGTATGTTGTCATTAAGCGCCACATGACTGGAATCCCTGGTAACAAAGATGTCTTAATTTCATTGTCTTATTCCATTCAGGCTGCTGTAACAAAATACCATAGACTGGGTAGCTTATACAACAGGTGTTTATTCCTCATGGTTCTAGAGGCTGGGAAATCCAAGATCAAAGGGCTGAGGGACTTGGTGTCTGGTGAGGGCCCACTTCCAGGTTGCGGACTGCTGACTTCCCACTGTATCTTCATGTGGCAGAAGGGAGAAGGCAGCTTTCTGAGGTCTCTTTCATAAGGGCACTAATCCCATTCATGAGAGCTCCACATTCATGACCTAATCACCTCCAAAAGCCCCACTTCCTAATATGTCACGTTGGGGATTAGGTTTCAACATAAGAATTCTGAGGGGACACAAACATTCAGTCTGTACCATTAGTCGTGTCCCTTGCCTTTCCCTTTACCTCAAGACAGTTACAAATTAGCCTCTTGGCAACAAATAACTAATTTGTTCTTTTCCTACTTTTACATGCCAGTACTCCAGCGACCCAGGCTGAGCCCAAGACCTGGGCACAGCCCACAGAGGCTGCTGCTAGCTCCGTTCTTTCTTCCCAAGGCCGCTGTGAGCAGCCTGAGCTATTCCATCCTGGGAACTTTGAGGAGTCTGTGATGGTGGGGGTGGATGGCAGTACAGCAGGGCCCCAGAGCTCTGCTGTTACAGGGTGTGCCTACTTACAGAGGAAGCGTACAGGCTAACAGGATCTGCGAGGGGCTGGCTGGAGGGTGGGCAGAGGGGCCACTGAGCTGGTTTTGGGACACCAGCAAAGCTGAGGGGGGCAGAGGGATGTATATATCAGATACCACACTGAAGAATGAATGCTAGGTCCATGCCTACAGTTAAGTACTAGACATTTTTATGTCTTAGTGAGATTTTTAGTTTGAAATGTCAGGACCGAAAAGTATTTTCTAAAAGCCTCCTACTAAATGAGAGGTGAGTGATTCACATATACTTAGAACAATTGAAGTAAATCATTGCTTAGTGGGGAACTACTAACACCAAAAAATTATATGCTGTTATTGGAAGGACAATAGAATTTCTGTGAAGAGTCACAAAATCTGAGTAAGACAGAAAATAATAAAAAAGTGTGAACCAAAATGACCAGGGGCTTCATTTATTTAATCCTTAGTCACGTCTACGTGGTAAGAAAGTGAGAAATCCATGGCCTAGTATCTGTTTTAAGTCCAGGTTCCACAGGGAGATCTGCCAATGAGATGTTCCAGCATGTGCACATTATTTATTTCTTTGGATAAGTTTTACCCCAAGTGTGTTCTGAAGAGGTCTTGTGTCATGAAATATTTTGCAGAAAATGATTCTGGAGTCAAGCGAGTTTGGAAAACCCTGCATAATACATCTCACATCTTGGAAAAAGCTCAGAAAAATCCCGCTGATGTTTCCTAAGCTAACCTGACCCCAGGACACTCTCTTCATATAATACAAGGTAGTACACTCTGGAGCAAATTTTAGGAAATGTTGCTGTTCGATATTTGCCCACCAAGTGCTGCTGTGGGAACTCTGTCCAGGTGAGAGGACCTGGATTAGTTGTGAACCTGAGCACTCTAGTCTTGAGAGAGGCGGCACTGTGGTCTCTGTCCACTTTCCCCAGACGGGTACTGAACCTTAGCCCTCAGGGCTTAGCTTTCTGAAAAAAGTAAGAAAAAGAAGAAGGAAAGGTAAAAACCAAAAAAAGGTCAACTCTAAAATAATGATTTTTTTCCTTAAAGTGTTTATTAGTCAGTCTATATGTCTACTCCTAGGCCAACTCACAACAGAGAGTCTTTTCTTAGTAGACAGCAGGCTGGACCTTGCTCCTTACACCATAGTACCCACCCCAATGCATTGTGACTCACCAGTGTCCTTGAACTTGGCCCATATCAGAAAATGATGAGTCAGGGTACCATTAAATGAACATTGGCCAAAATATCCAGGAATGCCTGAATCCTATCCTTGATCATGCCTATGTCATCCTTGAGGGAGGTATAAGTTCATATGAACCCACCCTCACAGAATGACGCACACCCTAAAACAGCAGGATGAGGGGAGGCCAATTACTCGCTGGAGCTTTCGTTTTAAAGCCACAGTACAGAACTCTGGTGCCCCCACTGGACCCCACAGACTCAGGTCTGCCAGAGGAGCCTAGAATGAGAAGCAGATGCAAAGGCTTCTACATCTATCATGAAGCTTGAGTCCACATCCTGAACCTTGCCTCTGCGATGCAAAGAAAGGTGAGAGCACCTCGGCTAGTGAGAAGAAACAAAAGATAGAGGAAAAGCGAGTTTGATCCAGTGTCTGGCAAGGTGCTCCCCTAGGCCATCTGTCCAGGGTCCTGACAGGAGAATGGGAGGAGGGCTCACAGGCAGAGGACACTCCAGGGGGAGCTGCCTCCAGACTCATCTCACTTCCCAAAGGAGAAGAGAGAAGAGCAGGGACCCTGGCCTTTATTCTGAAGGGACCCTGCTACTCCACAGTAAAGGGGGCTTAATCCATCCAGCCTCCAGCAGCCATCCTCCTCTTAGGAGTGGAATAAAGAGAGATGGAAGGGAGGACAAAATCCAGTGGGAGGACAGCTTTTCCTCCACCAGAGCCCTCCAACAACACCTTTCTTGTAAGTAGAGTTTGAACACACTTTCGCTCTATTTGTCTTATTTGTTTCCATCATTATTCACTACCTTTCAGTTCATTTACACACTCTGTGTTATTTATCTATCGCTGTGTAATAAATTACCTAAAATTTAGCAGCTTAAAGCAACAAACATTTATTGTCTCACAGTTTCTGTGGGTCCGAGTCCAGGCATGGCTGTGACTCACAAG